ACCACATGCAGGAATTTAAATACTAGACCTTTGGAGTTATATACAGATACATACTCTAAGAGCAACACACATCTATGCTCATTCTGACAATCAGTGTGCAAATAAACATTCTGCGCTAAATCACTGCAAATAAGAAGAACACATCCAAGTTTATTTAATCACAGTTTTTGGTAGCACAAATAGACAGCTCATTACTGGACCAATAAACACATCACCAGAAAGTATTTGCAAATAAATAAAACACTTCAAGGTTTATTCAGAGACAATAGTACCTACAAAAGTAGTCATCTCATAATAATTACAGTGCGGTCAAAAATTCGTGGCGCGACATTTTAAAAAAATCTCCTCAACTATTGAACATATGTTCTCCAATTTTTGCTCAGTGACTTGATCTAGTATCAATTTGTTTTAACAGATTAATATTTTTGTAAACACCAGCTAGCTGTATTCTAGAAATTTCTTTAATAAGTACTAATAAAAAATCCAAGTGCGTGGTTTCTACAGATTTTTTAATGTTTACAGCTGGGGCAATATAGCTTTTAATAGCAAGTTCGCCAGGTTTTTCTAATCGGGACATTACGCTTATTGAACGCATGTTTTGAGAGCCATTAGTGCAAAAATGTGTTCCCTATAACAATAATTTCTTGTAACAAGTTTTGAAAGTAAAAATTGTCATTCATGAGCTGTGACGTAGGCCATATGCGTAATCAAAATGTGTGTGAGAAGCTGGAAGTACTGTGAACAATCTAATTTTACGTGTGACAGAGATTTCAAGTATTTTATATAAATCTATGAAGAAAAGCTTTCTTAATCTAGCCCCAATTGTTCTGGAAAATATGATTTAGTTAAGACAAATTGATACCAACTGCTATGCAAAGTATGGGTGACATTGATTATTCCCGTTGAAGAGATGTTAGTGGATAAGTTGCACCACGAATTTTTGACCGTACTATAGTTGTGTGCAATCGTACGCTAATCGTCAGTTGAAACATACGAAGCGCAGAAGGGGAAAACAAAACATGACACTTTTTTTTGTACTTTGATTTAAACAAAAATTAAATGTGGCACGTTATTCTCATCAGGCTCTCGTCAGTCTTTCGGCATGTGAAATAAGTTTTTGGCGTCATCTGAAAGCTTGTTCATTTTTTCTATATTTTGATGAAAAAAAAATACCCATGTATCTTCAATCGAAGTCGAGATATTTTCAATTGAATAAGGTGAGGTCGACTGGTTTCAGAGGTAAAATAAGTTCGAAAACAGCTTCCAAAGTTTTGTGACTTCTATAGCTTGAGAGTCTTTGGAAACTGAAAATGTACGTTGTTTGTGCCGTAAATCAACGCTGTTTCAGTAAACTACAACAGAACTTCCTTCCTTCCTTCCTTCCTTCCTTCCTTCCTTCCTTCCTTCCTTCCTTCCTCCCTCCCTCCCTCCCTCCCTCCCTCCCTTTAGGTGTCATTGCAAGTGGTACAATGCCGTAGCTGCTCCTCCCTCCTCTCCAGGATCCACGAAAGGATTGGCTTGCTGATTGTGGAAGCTATCAGCTGGTGGGATATTCTTCTGGCTTTTCCACCCAGGTTTCTGTCTTTCCCCGACCCTAAAGCACTCACACTCTCCCCTCTCCTATGATATTTTGTTTTCAGAAGTCTCAGTATGTATATCTCAGCTGTTGATTGGACCACATTGATCTGGTAGTGCCTCACGTTTGTCTTAGGGTTATTTCATTTTGCAACTTTTGAGGGCTATCTTTGTCAGAAACATTTTGTTTTGCAATTTTTAAAAATTTTCTCAAGATCTTTTTAGATTTTGTCTTTTTTAAATTTTTTTTATTTTTAGCTATTTATCTAATGGGTACACTTTCCTCTTTTGAGTTTGGCTCTAAATAAAATCCTCCTGATTTTTATAGCAATAAGATGGAGGGTGGTTTTACAAAACTTGAGTTGAAAATTAGTTTTATATGATGCTACAGCTGTTGCTGTTATCAATGCTGCAGGGCATCAACTCAATTTGCCTGTAAACTGTTTTTTTCACAGCATATGTGAGATAACCATTCTTATTATCTGTATTTTTTTTCCTCAACCCCCCCAGGTACATCGCCTGGGCTGTACTCGGACGAGGAGGTGCAGGACATTGTGGGTCACATGATGCCCGGCGGTGTCCAGACCAAGCGCGTGGACAAGATCGAGCAAGCGTTTGAACGTTTCATCAAGCGAGTCCGGCAGAATTTGCATGTTATTGTCTGTTTGAACTACAAAGGTTAGTAACTGTGTAGGAGCTGTGACTTTGTGTCAGGTCAATGTGCTAGGTAAAGTACATTTTCTAGAAATGTTATATTTAAAGGAAGGCTTCAGAAAAATTGGTATTGTTGTTAGGTCTCACAATTACAATATTGTTATTGCATGTTAGATGCTTGAATAGTTCACCTTAGATAGGTAAACATAATTATTCGAGATCATCTTTGTGCTGAAATATGTCCCACTCAGCTCAAGCTGGTCCTGAAAGGCAAGGTTAGTTGCAGGCATTCTCCTAAATGATCTGTACTAGAAATTTAAACCTCTTCAACAATATGTCTTGACCAGTTGGCAGAAAGTACCTATACTCACTGAGAAAAGGGCTACATTAAGCAAGAATTTCTAATGGTAGAAGTAAGGGACAAAGAGAGGAAGGGAAGGAGAGCAAGAGAAAGTGAGAAAAAGAGAGAGAAAAGCATCAGGATGCCATGTGTGTAAATTTTGTTTTGCAGAGGCTGGTGAAAGTGCTCTGTCAAGTTTTTTTCAATAGAAGATCAACAAGGCTCACTTATCTCATCTCATTTTATACATCCTATTTTATCTTTCACTGTGTCTTATCTTATCTTATGTGGATATGATGCCCTCCTGATCCTAAGAGTACTTATTTTTACTGTTTCTCTTTCATGCCCTACCCCTCTAGGAAACAGCTTCTCCACAGACTTTCACGCCCTGCAGGACAAACTCCACACGTACCCTGGCCTCATCAAGAACTGTTTCAGCATTGACCTCTACCTGCCCTGGAGTTTCCGTGCCCTCTCTCAGGTGGCCCGTGCCTGGCTGGAGGACACCAAGTCGGGGGTTAGTCTACTAGTGTTTTAATTTGTGGGTTTTTATTCTATGTTTCATGGGAAACTGAAGACTAGTGTCACCAAGGGTGGACACATGGTGTAGGAAAGAATAGTCACTTTTTGACTTTCTGAGCTGCAATTGGGAAGAGACTAGAAAGGAAGGTTATGCTTTGAAAATGTCATCACAGGATTTAAAATGTGGACCAAATACAGCAGATATGCCATTGTCTGTAGTAGCAGAACATTGTCTTCTACACCACTGTTACTGCTAATTCGACAATTCCTTTTCACCACTCCTCCAGTGATAGTGACATCCCATAATGACAACAATGATGATGATGACTGCTGGGAGTTGACATCATTGTCTTTCTGTGGCTTCTTTGCTTTCCTCTTTTGCTGGTTTGTCTCCACTTTCACGTTGTGTGTTGTCAGTGAAGGTTAGAGAAAAAAAGAAAGATGGATGAATGATGCTCCAAGAGAATGGAGACAGATGTGCAACTGGAGACTCAGGTTGTTGTTTGTTGATTCTGTATGTTTTAAGTTATGATTCAAAAGTAAGGCTTAGTGATAGAATATATATGATTATTTATATTTTTGTTTAATCAAGAGAACTATCAAACCTGCTCCAACAACCGCTTCTCCCAGACAATCACTCGTACAAACAACTACTTTCCCACTTGTTCTTGCCTTGTGTTTTTTCTTCTTTACAATGATACTGTCGAAGTGGACTACCTGTCTAAGACAACAAAATGATCACATTTGTCATCACAATGGGTAGGTATCTTGGACAGGTTTGACGGTATTGCCTGAGGACGGAAATGCTTTTACCCTTTTAGTAAATTGTATGTTGTTGTTAATTGTATTAATTTTACTCTTGTAGTTTTGTCCTTTATCTTTTTTTTTTTTAAATCATTGCGAAAGAGAAATTTGAGTCCATGGTAGTGCTTTTAAATATTTTTATACTGTCTCAATGTAGCTTTAACACCCTCTATATTTCTTGTTTGTCTCTTACACAGGTAAGGATTCCTTGGAACCCTCACAGGAAAATGGAGCAAATAGAAATGGCGTCCAACACTATGGCCTACATTCACTTGTCTGCCAAGGCCGCCATTGAGAGGCAGTTCTGCCACCAAAAGGAGCCACTGAGAATCTTCACACCTCTCACGTTCCTGGAGTTTGTTCACATCTTCAAAATAGTGGCTGCATTCCTTGTGAAAACAGAGAAGGTATCTGGCTCTTCATTGTACACACATTCTATGATTTACAAATGAATGCCCTTTCACCCATTGTTTTAAGTTTCATAGATGGTAAAAGTGGGTTTTTTATCAGTTGATGACTTTAAACTGTGAGTTAAAATGTACAGTTTGTGCATATTTGATAAATATGATCAATATTATGGCGCATTGTCATTCAAGCGTTTTTAACAGAGAATGGTCAACTTTTAAATAACTGTTTTGTCAACTGGAGCCAGTGCAGTGTCTGCTAAAGAGGTTTAGCAGCGTCTCGCTTTCTATTCTGTAAAACTAAAAGTGCAGCATTGTTTTGATCAGTTAAAAGTTTTTTCACTTTCTCAAGAGATGTTCCTGATAAAAAGAGTTACAATAATAAAATCTTGATAAAACTAAATTATTTATTAATAAAGCAGTATACATTCTATTGATTAGACGATGTCTTTTGCCTTTTTCCTGTTATAAGTGACTTGAGTATGTGGTATGTCGTTTTTCTGTTATTAGTATGACACGAGATGATACATTATATTGTTCCTGTTCTGTAAAATTAATTGAAAATATCATGTTGTTGATATGCATTCTTAGTGTTTGCTGTTTTCTATCTCTTGTCCTGGGGGGTGAAAAAACTGTTATTGTGCTGATTTTCTGAAAGAACAATGCAAGTTCAGGAAATGAAAATGATGAAGTAAACTTTTGTGGTGATAGTTGTAATAGTGGTGTTGTTTTAGGGGACCTGGCTGCAAGAAGATTTTGAAATATAGACTAAGGCTGAAGTAACACTAGGAACAAATGTGTTTTAAAATGAAGTCTCAAAAGTGCAAAAGCAGGCGCTTGGCAGCTTCCTCTGATGTCTTACTTCTGCAATGTCCCATTGTTTCTATAAATCTGTTGTGCTTTTTTTTTAGCTGCCAATGACTATTATTATGACATTGTGAGGCAACCAGAGATAGTAAAGGTCCCTCCTTTTTTCTGTCATATAGGGCAAAGGTGTCAAATTTGAGCAGGCTCTTAGCAAGATTGATGAAGCTTTTGGGAGCATTGCTGAATTCAAGAAAGAGGTTTCTGACCTTATGCCACGTCAGAAATCTGCCAACTCAGAGATCCGAGATCTGGTCACACAAGTGGAGACCCACAAGCAAGAATACATTGTGGTAAGTGTCACACTCAACTTGTTCTTTAACTTGTCAGTTTCATCTTTTCTATACTCAAACTTATATATTGACAATAGTTTAGGTCTATATTAACTTATTGAATGTGGAACGATTTTACCATTAAGTTTGTGTTATTTAAATGTATTGACAGATAATAGGCTTGCTATACAATAGTTGTGTTTGTTTTTGACTGTGTCAGAGATGTGTGGCTTTGTGGTGAAATCATGCGCTTGTCAAAATGTTTAAACTGAAGAAACTGATATTTTCCTGCCTGTTAGACAATTTTTTTCTTTTTTTCTTTTTCATTTTAATTCAAAACTTTTATGTCCTTTTAAAAACTCATTTTCTGCATGTTTTTCTGGAAAACATTGATCAAAGGCAAACCCCCCTGTAAATTTAGTTTTCAAAGGACGTTCCAAGTTTTCGAATTCAACAAACTTTGGCAGCCATAATTTTTTTTGTGACACCAGGTGATTTTCAACTCCTTCAGTTGCAAATATCTCAGCTTCTAATCGAGATAGATGGGTATTTTTTTTTTCATTAAAAGCAAGACTAGTGAACAGGCTGTAAGATGATACCAACAACTCCTTACACCTACAAACTGATGAACACCTCATTCCACCTCATCGGAACACATCGTTTTCGTTGTCTTTCAATTGTTCCCCATTTCTCTTTCTTCCCTCCAGGCATTGGACAAATGTAAAACCCAGGAAGAGAAAATCATCGAGTTGCAAGTGCCTCTTGAGAGACTCAGGAAGTCAGCTCAGTCTGAGTTTGACAAGGTACTCCAAGTGTTTGTGTATGAGCATCATCTCTGCCAGACTGTTTGCAATAATCATGCAGTCTCTACTTAAGACGCACAGCTACAGCTTTTACTTTTTTTAATCGAGTTAGAAAAAGACAACATGAGGATGTGTAATGAAGTATAAAGTTTTCATAAAAACATAAATAATGTATCTGATTGTCTCGCTTTGAGACCATGAAGGTTTTTTAATGCAGGGATCATGTCACTCTTCTTTTTTGATAACATTTTCTTTTATTTTAAAACCTTCAGGTAAACCCCATTTATGAGGCAGCGGCCCAAGTGTTGGATAACCTGGACTATGCTTGTGTGGAGGAGTTAAAGAGTTACCCATCACCTCCAGAGACGGTCGAGTATGTCATGAATGCTGTCTGCCTGCTTTTCAACAAGCCACAAACGTAAGAGATATTTACTTAAATTCTCTTTTCGAGGATGGGAGATGGGGCAATCTTTGTGTTGGGCTTTGTATTTTTGTTTTTTGCGGGGGTTTTTTGTTTTATTTTGAAAGAGGAAGGAGGGTGGTTCAAGGGATGGTAGGGTATTTTATAACATTCTTTGCTTTAAATACTGTATTGTGTAGGCCTATAACAGCATGATATTTCATCAGTTAAGGGGGCTCGATGCTTACGGGACAACATTTTTAACTAAAGACAAACTGAAACAACTTTTGTCACAGGCAGTAGTATGAGACAAAAGATTCATGTTCAACTGTTGACACACTCGATTACATAAGCTGTTGCCATGGAAATGGCAGCCATCTTGAAAATTAAATAGACATTTTTTTTTCGCCACCATTTCTACAGTTTTTAACTTTTTAAAATTCTGTAATGTGCAAAATGGCACAAATAAATAGGTGCTTCCAGCTTGTTATTTTGATTTTTGATACTATACTTAGAAAGTATCCGAAATTGTTATCAAAATTGGGGATATTGAATTTGATCTTTTAAAAAAAGTATTTTTAATATGAAAAAAAATTGTAAAAAAAATTCTTAAGCAAAACTTGAAAAACTAACAAGCCGTGACGGTGGGTAGTGAAGGGCTCACGGGCTTGAGCCCCTAACCCCTCCCCACCCACCACACCCAACTCTATCCCAAAGCAAAGGAAAGTTTCTCCATAATGAAATAAGCAGTTGAAACCGTTATGACCGCACGCAATGAACACAGAGTGATCAACTTGTCGGCTTGCTCGCTTATCCAATCACTCTTGTCACCGCTTACAACTATAGTAACCCAGCAGCCAATCAAATGTCTTTAGGGCTCAGCAAAGACGAGCCCTTTTCCCACAGTCCGTCCTTAATGAAATCTTCTTGTGAAAA